TCAGAGCCACAGACATCTGCCTTGAGCGAAGATACTCAGCTAATCAAGCAAGAACGCTATCATCCGATTTGTAATATCGAAGTTTAGCGATCAAAAGACTATGCGTAAAGACGTCATAAGCTTTTCTGAAATCCTCAAATATACAGTCAACACTTTGCTGCTTGTCGACACCCGAGGCAAGGTCATGAGTAAATTCTACAAATTGCGTCGTACAAGAAAAGCCCTGCCAGAACCCTTGCTGACTAGGATGAAGAAGGTTATTGGCAACAAGGTGAGACATGATCCTGATATAAATCACATGTTCCATAACCTTGCATACAATACTAGTTAACGACACTGGTCTATAATTATAAACTCTGTCCCTCTGTCCGCTTTTATGAAGCGGTACCACGCGGGCCAACTTCCAGTCCCCAGAAACAATGCCGTAATTTAAGGAATTTCGAAATAAACGACAAAATATAAACACAGAGTGCCTGAACAGTTAATAAAAACAATGCCGGGATATCATCCGGACCACTCGCTTTCGTGCGTTTCAAGCCTTAAATAATCTCTCGACTCCCGTCGCACTAAACGCAACCTCAGACATTTTGTCGACTTCGACAAAAGAATCAACAGTTGTAACTGCACCAGCATCTGAAAAATCAGACTGAAGTACCGGTGGAAAGAAATTAACAAACATTTTGACCTTACACGGATTATCAATAATAATTCTGTCAGACCAGTGCAATAATGGAACAGAAGTGTCCTCCTTACCGTTTCTTTTAACGTATTTCCAAAATTCCTTTGGATCGTCTACCAGCCTCTGGCTTATGTTAGCGAAGTATGTTCGTTTGGCTAATCCAGCGAGCTTTCTAAAACTACGTTTTAACTCTGCTAACTGTATAAAGCGACTATCCGATTTCTGAGTCTTGCTAAGTCGATAGATTCTTCAGATTTTTCTGCATGGTTTATCTTTTGAACTTTTGGAGGAGAACGTTCAAACGGGAACAAATTTAGCATGTAGTTCAAAAAGCTTTTCTTTAGGTACTGCCCATAACCCTTCCCGTTTAATTCATCTGCTAATGTGTTAAAAGTAGGAAAGTAACATTCAAGAGCTACATTTAGTGCACCGTAGTTAGCCCTGTTATATGCATACACTGTTCTAGGGGCTTTTTTCGATGCACACATGTTTCGATATGTAGCGTCCGCTGCAATAACCTTATGATCACTTATGCCGGGCAAAGCAGATATGTCTGAAATAATGTTCGGCGCATCACAATGTAACAAATCAAGCACGTTACCAGTGCCATCATTACGCGAAGGATCTCTTACCAACTGATGCAGACTGGTTTCGTGCATAAATCCAAAGAAGGCTTTGTATAAACCATTTGTTGTGCCACCTGCCAGACAATTACTCCACCCGCAATCTAATCTGGGAAGATTAAAATCACCTCCCCGTCTGAACCATCTAAAAAAGTAGTCGATTGAGCAAACTGCTGACAAGAGGCACCAGGTGGTCGATAATAAGAACCAATGACAAAACGCTGACCATTATCAGCCCGCAACTTGCAAAATACAGATTCACATTCCAAAGCACAATCGACTCGAACACAAGGGAAGTCTGATCGTACAAGAATAAACACACCACCACCCCTAGATTCACGGTCCCGCCGAAAACAGGGACAACCAACGGGAAACAATTCTCTGTCAAGGACAGTGGCATCTAGCCAGATTCAGTGCCTTATACTACTGCAGGATGAACAGAACTTAACAGCAAGTGAAAGTCATCAACCTTATTTCTAAGACTTTTGCAATTGAAGATGAGTAGTCTTAGTTGTTACGTCACAGAAGATTGCAACGGTGGTCACATCTGAATTACGTCCCCTGTAGTGCTGTCAATCCGATATCGCTTATCAGCCAGATATGGGATATCAAATCTTAAAACGAATTCCTCGCCTTCCTTCCTATTATCTTTTGCTTATGCCCAAAGCTTCTTTTTTTTTTCACGAACTGTGCGTGAAAAATCTTCAGACATGCCGTATGAAGTCTCCCTTATGTTATACGCTTTTGTCAAGACTTGCTGACGCGTTTCAAAGGAAGCAAATCTGACTATTACTGGTCGTGTTTTATTGGCATTGAATGACCCTATTCTATGGGCATGCTCTATGTTCACAGAAGTAAGCCCAAGTTTCGTGCGGCACAGATTACGGATTAGCTCCTCAGCCTGAGCATTAGTCTCGCCTGCCACTAAGTTCTCTATGCCGTATAAGAGCAAATTTTCACGCCTTTGCCGGTATTCAACATCTTCTACCTTCCGGATAAGAAAGGACCTCGCACCTTGCTCCTCTTTCTGTTTTTCCTTTATGTAATCTATTGCTATTTGTAATTCGTCTACGTTCGGGACATTTTCTCTAGTGAAGCCAGGCGTGCTTTCAAACCAGTTATATCAGTATTGGTTTGTTTTTGGTTTTCCTCAATTGCTGACAATTTGGAAATAATTGCAGCCTGTTCTTCGAGTAAGCGCTCCATCTGTGTATTTGAAGGCCCTGGGTTTTGCTCGACGTCCACCCCACACAATACCAAGATTAACAAATAAAAGGCAGCGCTCCGGAACATCAAGAACTGCCGTCTGCGAATCACTCTGTGTGACATCTCACGATGCGAGCACTTCAATGGCAAAGAATACTGGGGTGGAACCGGCACAACAAAATGACACAAACCACAAATGTGGTGCGAAAAACCAACCCGCGTGAGCAGCGAGAACGAGATTAAGCGCACTGCCATGTCGCCGGTTCCATGCCCAATCGAAGATTTTCCGCTGCAGTGTATTTGTAGCCATATGTCACCAGCCACGCCGGCACCGCCCAGTGTCCATGGTTTGTTAGTAGATAGGGTAGTTAAAATAGTAGAGGAGCTTTACAGAGATCTGTATAGTAGCCGGGAAAACCACGACCTTACTATAGGAACTAGCAGTTCCCCCGATGGCATCCCACCAGTAATGATAGAAGTCAGAAAAGCCTTGGAGGGAATGAAAAGAGGCAAAGCTGCTGGGGAGGATCAGATTACATCAGATCTGCTGAAAGAGGGTGGACAGATTGTGTTAGAAAAAACTATCCGCTTTGTTTACAAAGCGTCTTCTGACTTGAAGAGCACCAGAATCTTGGAAGAATGCTAACATCATATTATTACATAAGAAAGGAGATGACAAGCTTGCTCTCCGTCGTATACAAGCCATTTACAAATGTTATTGGTAACAAAATTAGGAGAACGCTAGAATTCAATCAAACAAAGGAACCAGCAAGATTTCGGACAGGCTACTCAACAATTGACCTCATTCATACTATTAATCAGGTAATAGAGAAATGCTCAGAAAGCATATATAAGCATCCAGGAAGACATCTACAGAGGATCAACTGCGACCATAGTGCTTCATAAAGAAAACGACAAAATACCAATCAAGAAGCGTGTAAATCAGGGGATACAATTTCCCCAATGCTACTTACCGCGTGCTTACAGGAGTCTTTCAAAGACCTACAATGGGAAAAGTTAAGAATAATACCTGTGTCACACGGGCGCGCAAAAATTCTTTTAAGTAAGCGGTCTTTTACGAAGTTGAAAGACTTTTAACAAAGAGGTGTTTGCAGCGCAGACACACGGCAGCAACGATCTCCTTTTAGTGCTTTCGTTCGAAGACGCTAGCGAAAGCGTGGCGCCAGCAGTTAAAAGAGAAGCAATGAAAATTAAACAATGTATCACGGTGTACAAATTAAAGACTTGTTGCACTGCTCGTTTCTTCAAATAAATTTAAGAATAAGAGATGAAGAAACACCATTGTGAATGTTTTTTGCACTAGATAAGGAAGCATTTCCATAACTAGCGACGTGCACAAGTCCGTCTGGCACCACTGTGCTTTTATTTACCGTATTTGTTTTTCGCTGCTCTCGACTGCTGTCGACACGTTATGGGCGACCATACGGGAGAAAAAGCGAGGATCGCAAGACTCACGGCCTGCCTTCTCGCTCTGGAAAGCGAGGCAGACGCTGCAAAAGCCGCCAAGGAGAGGATAAAGGAGCGCAAAACCGAGCGTCACCACGTGATATTGCCGACGCGTTGTAGCTGCTTACGAGACTAGAAAAGAAAATAACCATTAAAAGAGTTCATTACACATTCTGCAGGATATGAAATTTGTTTTTACAAAGAGTTTTGATGACAGAAAAATAAGCATTCGCTCTTTTTTTCCCACCACTCGAAAATTGATGGCGCCCACTGGTTTCGAGGCTACTCATTCGGAGCCGTAAAAGAGATCGACGAACGCCGTTTACGAAAAAGACCGCTTCTGAAAAGAAGTTCGCTCTGTGCCGTGTGTCTGCTGTCAGGAACTCCTTTTCGGAAAAAGACCGCTTACTTAAAAGACTTTTAAGTGCCCGTGTGACAAGGGTATTAGAGTTAATGGAGAGTACCTTAGTAGCCTTCGCTTCGCCGGTGGCCAGGTTGCTAAATACTTCCATGCACAAGATTGGACAAGATAGGATGCATGCACTTGAATTAAAAATAATGCTAAGTGGGTGCACTATCTTTCAGCTTGTTGGTGCACCTTGAACTTCGGGCCAACCTTACGTAGACGGAGACAGGCAAACACAAGTGCTAGTACTTGTATTTCGCCTTCTTTCTTTTTGTCTCGATATCGCGCCGGGCCCCCAAAGCACCGGCCTTCTTTGAAAGAGTTCTTCATCATACTGCCTGAGCACATAGGACAGCCTATGACCACATAGCAACCTCTACCCTCAAACCCTTTTGTCCTTGCTCACTTGTTGCCAGGACGTCTCTCTTCCCGATGGCTGTTAGCTATGCTCTCAGAAGAATTATAGAAAAAAAAATGTGGCAGCTTCTTGTTGAAGAACACAATGGGGTGTTCGGGGTTTGGGGTTTTCGCGCTGTTTACCATACTAATATGAATGCCATGTTGGAGTCCTCGAAAGCAGCCTACGTTGGTGATGAGAACAGGCATAATGTTATTGCAGGTGGACGCAGACTGAGCGTTGTTCAGCGGCGGCGCGAGGGGGCGCCCTGCAGCATCCGCCGATGGGGCTACCTCCCGATGCAAGCGGGTCTGCGCGACTCTCGCGCACCACGGACATCGAGTCGCAGACCGATCCAGTGAGCAGGGCGCCCGCAGCTAACGCTGCCGGAGGAGGACAGAACGAGGTGCGTATATACATCATTCAAACACACGTGAATTTTGTTTCTGGGGAATAACTGCTTACATCTTTTGGGCCAAAATAACACCTGCAGTCTGGCAATATCAGGCACGACAGTGCTTAACCGCTCATTAGACAAGATGGTTAGAATAACCACCGAGGCCGCACACGTAGAAAAAATACAGCAAGGTTCATGTGTAACCACGTCGTCACTAGCACTGACCAATAAAATAAAGCGTTTTTTAGGTTTGTATAATTAGATGAGTAAGCGATTGTTATGAGCGGATGACAAGTATAAGATATTGACGAACAGTGTTTGTTTTTCCTGTGTATGCTATATATTTCATGCACTGTGGCAAATAAAAATCAGCTACGAGTCAGTGCTCGTGTGCGTGCTCCTTCCTTCCCTGTATTCTTGCGCTGTTCTTTTCCTTACGAGGGTTCCAAAAGTCCCGTGACTTAGTGGTGGCATCCCTTAATCACCTGCTCAGGTGATATTACCACTTGAACAACACATAGTTTGAAATTGTGTGAGGCGCCAAGTTTTAGGAAAAGAAGTGGTGACAATGTAAATGACTCACAACGGTAGTAATTTAACTATCGTCCCATGAGAGCACGCGATTTTAAGGCAAAAACGTTAAAGAGCTCGTTGTGCTCTCACCGGCTTATGCTGGGGTCAAATATCTTTTTCGTAATTTTCACAAAGTTCGCAAAGGAAAAAAAAATTAGGGGACCCTTAAGATTCGCCTCTAATAGTTGAACGCGACAGCGACATCCTGTTTCTTGTGTGTCATCATAATCATCATCAGCCTGACTACGCCCACGGCAGAGCAAATGTCTCTTTTATGCTATACGCCCATCAACCCAGTCCTGTGCTTTCCGTTGCCACGTTATACCTGGAAACGTTTTAATCTCACCGGCCCACCTGACGTTGTCTCCCTTCCGTGCCTTCTTAGGAATCCAGTAAGTCGCCCTTAATGACCAGTGGTTATCCTGCCTACGTGCTATGTGCCCGGCCATTGTCTATTTCTCTTTCTTGATTTCAACTTTGATATCATTAACCCCAGTTTGTTCCCCGGCTTTGTTCTCTTTTTGACTCTGAAACTTAGACCTATCATTTTGCTCTCCACCGCTCGCTGCGTCGTCCTCCGTCGGCTCTGGCGACATTCTGTCATTCTGTGCTCACAATTTATTCACCTATGCGTTGATTGGCCATAGATGTTTTATTAGAGAACGTTGCGTCTCTCTCTCTCTCTCTCTCTCTCTATCTATCTATCTATCTATCTATCTATCTATCTATCTATCTATCTATCTATCTATCTATCTATCTATCTATCTATCTATCTATCTATCTATCTATCTATCTATCTATCTATCTATCTATCTATCTATCTATCTATCTATCTATCTATCTATCTATCTATCTATCTATCTATCTATCTATCTATCTATCTATCTATCTATCTATCTATCTATCTATCTATCTATCTATCTATCTATCTATCTATCTATCTATCTATCTATCTATCTATCTATCTATCTATCTATCTATCTATCTATATCTCATTGCTTCAAATGTATACGGTTCGAAACAGTCTCTGTCGGACGAGGAGCTGTCCTCGCCGTTGACGCACATAGAGAAGATGTTCGGGACCGCGGAGAACGGATGCCTGAGCGATGCCGTCGCTCAGATCCTCGAGGACATGGATGCGGAGCCTCGGCCCGCGACGCGGCCGCGCACGCGCCGCACGGCGACTGGCATCACGGTTCGAGCCGCGAGCCGGCGGGACACCGGAGTGCAGACCGTCAACGACCCGGTCACCGATGAGGCGCCCGAGTACGCCGCGCGACCACCGCCCTGCAAGAAGCGCGAGATGATCCCTTCCATGGCCGTCTTCCAGGAGGTCGACAGGATTGCCCTCAAGGTAGGCGGTGACTTCATTCATTCATTCATTAGTTATTTCTCTCTATACGAGAACGCAAAATAGAGGAAAAACGAAACGCTCACTCAAGGTCTTTGCTTTAAAAGCAGTGAGATACGCAGGCCATCATCAACAATTCCCAACTATGAATAGAAATGAGAAGTAAATAGGAAAGGTGCATTGACAGAATAATGCAATGCATATGGTAACAATAACAATAAAGTGATATTAGTAACACACAACATATATATATTGTAGCGATGCTGAGGCCGACAGGTTAAAAAAACAAGCGTCTTTATTAGGGCGAACTTGTGCCCACAATTCTAAAAACTGGGGTGTTTAAGCCCGAGTAGCCGAGTGGCACAGATACAACTAACTTCCTCTTCCTCGTCGTTGGGGCGCACGAACGCGTGGCGCATGCCAGTCGGGTCTTGCTGGTGCTCTTGCCATGATGATTGCGGCGGCTACTTGAACATGGCCAACCTGTCGCAGCATTATCCCCCTCCTCAGACGCATCGTCCCGATGCTTGAGAGAGTGAAATGATACATGCGCCCTCTCACTCGTTTTCCGACGATCTGTCATGATAGGGCTTCATGCGGACTACATGTACCACTTCCGTGGTATTGTGGCGTCTTGAGCTCACGTGTCCCGCGGATCTGACTTCATAAGTGACGTCGCTGATACGGTTGAGTACTTCATAAGGGCCGAAGTATCGACAAAGAAGCTTTTCAGAGGGTCCGCGGCGGCGCACTGGGATCCATATCCACACTTTGTCACCGGGATGATAAAGTGCGTCACTGCGTCGCTTGTTGTACCGACTAGAGTCGACGCGCTGTTGACGGCGTATTCGGTATCTTGCCATTTGTCGTGCTTCTTCGGCTCTTTGCAAGAAGTCATCTAAGTCAGGTGGATAGCTGTTTTCGTCCTGTAGTGGTAACATGGCATCTAGTGGGGTGGTCACTTTTCGACCGAATACTAGTTCGAAAGGGGCAACGTGGGTTGTTTCTTGAACGGCTGTATTATATGCGAATGTTACGTAGGGTAATATTTCATCCCACTGTTTATGTTCAACATCGACATACATTGATAGCATGTCGGTCAGAGTTCTGTTGAGGTGTTCGGTTAAGCCATTTGACTGAGGGTGATACGCCGTTGTTCTTCTGTGATCGGTATTTGTCATGCGCATCAGGCCTTGCATAAGGTCTGCAGTAAATTCGGTGCCCCGATCCGTAATAACGACGATGGGCGCACCATGTCTGAGCACTATGTTGTTCACAAAGAACTTGGCGACTTGGGCAGCTGTCGCACTGTACAGAGAGTCAGTCTCAGCATAACGGGTCAGATAGTCTGTAGCTACGACAATCCATTTCTTGCCTGCACATGATGTCGGGAAAGGTCCTAAGAAGTCCATGCCGACTTGTTGGAATGGGGCATCCGGAGGGTCTATTGGATAGAGAAGGCTGGCTGGTTTTACGGCTGGAGTTTTGCGCCGTTGACTTTGACAACAAGTTTTCACGTAGCGCTGCACTGATGCGAGCAACTTAGGCCAATAGTACTTCAGGCGAATCCTGGCGAATGTTCAGCTCACACCCATGTGGCCGGATGTTGGCTCGTCGTGGCATGAATGCAGAATTTCCCGTCGCATGGCTGTGGGCACGACTAGTAAAAACGTTTCGCCATGAGGTTCAAAGTTCCTCCTGTAAAGGACACTTCCTCGAAGGCAGAACGTGGAGAGCCCTCTGGAGAATATGCGAGGAACTTGAACGTCGAGACCGTGCAGGTGTTGTATAAGCGCCAGCAAATCCGGGTCATCTCGTTGTTGTTGAGCGATTTCGGATGCGTCGACAACGCCTAGAAACGGGAAGTCTTCCTCTTCAAGTACACTTGGATCGACGGGAGAGCGTGACAGGCAGTCGGCATCACTGTGTTTCCTTCCAGATTTGTATACGACTGTAGTGTCATACTCCTGCAGCCTAAGGCTCCATCTGGCTAGTCGACCTGACGGATCCTTGAGATTTGCTAGCCAGCATAGAGCATGGTGGTCACTGACAGCTCTGAACGGTCTACCATAAAGGTAGGGTCGAAACTTATTTATTGCCCAGATGACTGCGAGGCACTCTTTTTCAGTAGCAGAGTAGTTTGCCTCAGATTTTGAGAGTTTGCGGCTGGCATAGGCTAACACTTTCTGTTGACCATTTTGCCACTGGACCAGGATGGCGCCGAGGCCGACATTGCTGGCATCGGTATGGACTTCAGTGTCAGCTGTCTCATCAAAATGGGCAAGTATTGGTGAACCCTGTAGCCGTTTTCTTAATTCATCAAAAGCTTTCTGTCGTTTGATTTCACATGTGAAGGGCACGTCTTCTTTTGTCAGTTTTGTAAGAGGATGCGCAATCTGAGAAATTTTCAACAAATCGCCTATAGTAGGCTCATAAACCCAAAAATTGACGCACTGACTTTTTGTCTTTGGGTGTAGGGAACCTCTGAACAGCGGCTGTCTTTTCTGGATCAGGACGAACACCGTCAGAACTAATGACATGTCCAAGAAATCGCAGCTCTTCGTAGCCGAGGTGGCATTTTTCAGGTTTGATTGTCAAGATTGCTGGCCGAATGGCTTGTCATACTGTGCGCAGTCGCTCTAGATGTTTGTAAAACGTTGCAGAGAATACCACCACGTCATCTAAATACACTAGGCATGACTGCCATTTTAATTCCGTGAGGACAGTGTCCATCATTCGCTGGAACGTCGCTGGCGCGGAACAGAGACCTAATGGAAGCGCTTTGAATTCGTAGAGGCCTTTTGGTATTACGAATGCCGTTTTTTCACGGTCCCGCACGTCTAGCTACCTCTGTTTGCCAATATCCGCTTTTCAGATCCAAGGAGGAGAAAAACTTTGCGGATCGCAGCCGATCTAGTGTATCGTCAATACGTGGAAAGGGGTAGACATCTCGTTTAGTTACACTGTTGAGTTTTCGGTAGTCGACACAGAATCTAAGCGTGTTGTCTTTCTTCTTAACGAGCACTACGGGGGACGCCCATTGACTATTCGAAGGCTGGATGACATCATCCGAAAGCATTTCCTCCACTTGCTTCTTAATGATTTCCCGTTCTTTCTGTGACACTCGATATGGATGCTGGCATATAGGCCTCGTGTCGTCTTGCGTTATAATTCTGTGTTTTGTAATTGACGTGCGCTGGACCTTCGAGGCAATTAAAAAGCAATCAGAGAATTCTTTTACTAAGGCGTAAATCTGTTTCTTTTGACTGTCCGGAAGGCTCTGGTTGACGGTCACAGATGTGTCGATGTTGCAGGCCACTGGTCGAGTGGTTGACGTGGTTAAGCTGCATGGTTCTGTCGCCATACAGAAGTCGTGTAAATAGGCAATAGCCGTGCCTTGAGCGATATGTTGAAGTTCATTGGAGAAATTCGTAAGTAGGACATCTGCATGGCCATTCGTCAAGTGAACAAGACCCCGAGCTACGCAGACACCTTTTTTGAAAATGTACAGAGGATTCATGGTTTACCAGGTTTACCTCCGGAGCTTCGCCCACTCATCATCATTCACTTCGTGGATATGGCGGAATTTTTTTATATGGGCTCACCATCATGCAAAATATTACTTCACAGCCCGAGAGTAACGGTGCTGGCCCTCGCAGAAACCAGCATCACTGAAACCGAAAATTTCTTGCTACGTAGAATTTTCAAGTTCGTGCAAGACTTGAAAGCACACGAAGGTTACACAAACAGAGCAGCCGAGAAACTATAATAATTTGGTCGTATTGCAGGAGGTCCGGTTCACCTGGTCGTCCAACCACACTGGGTAGACAACGCATAATTTAGTTAACTCGGCCGGATCACTAATTTGTGCACACAGTGCGCAAATGCTTCTCACCAATTAAGTACAAAATCTTTTCGATAGAGGGCGTAAGCACTGCTGCGGTTGGCGGTAGCTGCTTGTTGCTGCACCGAATCGTTTGGAGGCCGTCCATACGCGCCACGTGCAGCTTTGGCTCAAATCAATGCTCCCGTTCAGCCGTTATGTACAGGTATACGATGCCGTGAGAACAAAAGAAATTGGACGCATGGTACGTTGCCAATCAATAACCATCACTTTAGTAGAGGGGGCGTTTCTTTGCCCTCGTAGAGCCGGAAAAAAAAACTGTAGCTGTAAAAAAATAAAATAGAGAAAGAGAACATAGAAAGTACGTATAGCCTAAACTCTGACTCTTAAGGAACGCTGGGAGTCCAACTTTTTTTTTTTTGACTGGCGATTTAAAACTGATCAATAACGCATGCTTTGAAGCTCGTGTAGAGACACATAGATATATGAAATAAAAAAATAGAGGTGGTGTTGGGGGAGGGGGGGTGGATGAAGGCGATGGCGCGAACATCTTGCGTTCTTCCGTTATGAATTTTCGGGGAAGAAAAATGAGCCTTCGATGAACCTCCCTCCCCTCCTTTATTTCTAAAAAAAGAGAAGAAAAAATGAATTAACGATAGGAAGAAAGAAAGAAAGAAGAAAAAAGAACGAAATGACAAAAGAAAAAAGAAAGAAAGAACGAAGGAAAAAAGAAAGATAGAAGGCGAAATGAAAGCTTAGATTGCGAGTCACGCATAGCTAAGTCCACGGCGAGGTTAAGCGTTTGTACCTTACTTTGCGCTGTTCTCGTTTTGTTGTGTAGAACTTGTGCTGCCGCTTCCGGCCTGATGACTCTCACCGACGTGCTTTTCGAAGATAAAAAGCGTATTGCAATCAGAATAATCGCTCTCAGCTCGAGGGAAGTTTAATGGATTAGGATAACTTTCAAGTACAAGTAATGATAAAGAGAATCTTGGTAGATTGATCGAAATTTGTAGTTCCCTATGTAGTATACGCCACTCAATTTATTTAATTATAGAACACGCAACTTTCGAGGGCACTGTCAAGATTTGGGCTGTTTTCTCAAGCAGCTTGTAGGTTGTTTGTATGAACATGTTGCGACGTTTGAAGAACACTGGCTCTTTTTTACCAGGCGATTAAAGCAGCATTCATGGCCCTCGCGAAAATAATGGGAGAAGGAATTTGAGAAAAGTTTTCTGCGCAATCTACGATCAAGGAACACCTCTCAGGGAACCCCTTTGAATCAACGGGCTTACTTTGAACCTCTTTGAATCAAGGAACCATCTTTGAATCGAAACAGTTCTACTGTTTTATTCAGAGAAAAAAATTCTCCAGAAATCCACCGAAAAAACAAATTCCGGCAAATTAGTCACAATTTGTTTCTTTTTGTGTCCTTTATATGGTTAATTAAAAATTCCTTTGTCAGAAGCCGGGTGACAGGTACAGTTGGTTCCCCTTATCTGAATATGAAACGTTTGATCAAATAATGTGTTGTGTCATCGTGATATTTAGAAGTAACTTTCACGTGTTTCAAAAGCATCATAGTTTCGGACACAGCATTTTTAGGGACATTTTTATGAATAATATGAGCGTTTCTTCGGGGAAGGCACAATTAGAGGGGTATGATTTAATCCTGATGATCGTTGTTATAAAGCTGAGTGAGACGTCAGTATATGTGGTAATGTTATTTATAGCATGTATGTGTGCAGTATAATTATCCCGTAATCGTCATCATAGTCGTTATCATGAATAATAATGAGAAGGCTTTCTTACTTGGTTTTTCTGGGATGAATACAAGATCTGTACAAACTGATGACGCTGGGCACAGTATAAAGTCTCATACTGTACGTATTCCAGTTTGTCCGACAGCTCTGTTAAACGCTTTGGCCATGCCTGGAAGGTCTGTTAAAAAATAATTGCGCTTCCTGCGAAAGCGGCAAGTTAGAGAGCTACTCCAAAGTTGCAACGTTATAGAGAGCGACCGTCACCCGTCCCTCTCCCCGTCATATGATTGGGCACACGTTTTCTGCCATTACAGTGAGTACCACACATTTTTCGTGCCAGTTTACTGCGCTGTGTTGCTTCTTCCAAACCTTAGTATGGCTTCTGTGCCATAAAAATTGAAACCTCCAAGAAATGTGGTTCTGTCATTTACACGTCGTCTACACAAGCTGTTCTGATGCCTGAATGACCGAGAAGTCTTTTTCTTTGCGTTTTTTGTGTAAAACAATCTGGGACATAAACGTACTGCATTTAAATAACAATGCAAAAGTCGTCATCATGCAGAAGTTGTGGGAATATCTTAGTGAACTCATTGCAAACAGTTCAATGCCAATACTTCCGTAAAAAAAAAAGCACATGCCTTGGAAAATCTTGAGGTCCGTATTCCGTAGCACTCTCTTTTATCAGACACGTTGCATTGATTACCTATACTGTCTACCCCGAACGTCCCCACGGCTTGAATCATGTTGTGTCGCTTTGTCGTGAGGTTGGGCCTCGGAAAGTCTCAAGTTCCACCCATCGCCGGTCAGGGGCGAATAAATCTAATAAGAAACCATACCTAAACATTATGCTAAAATGCCAAGCAAAAAAAGAAACCATAGTGGCTCCGTTCAAGTCTGCCCTAGGGGACGCCGAAAAATCCGCTAAGGGTACTATAGTAAGCTCAAAATTTGAAGCGAATAGAGCCACCATTTTTGCGAAAAAGTGCTGTTTTCTATATATTTGAAGGGTAACATCTGCATTCCGCTTCGTGCGTAGTACTTCTGAGCACGAAATTTGTTTAGCGATCGCCGTGCCATGTGGGTTCTACTATTGATTCCCTTATCGGTGACAGTGACGAAGCGGAAAACATGCGCTGCCGCTCATCGACGAGGGCAGCCGACACGCATATGCGCAGTTAGTTTTCATCCGATGATTAGCGTGGTTCTCGGCATTTCGTTTTCTTTTAGCACGTTTTTATTAGCTTCGGTAAGACACTGCAGTTATTGTAGGCATAGTCGCTGTATTGCTGTAAGATGCCGCAGGAACTGTTTTACGGCGAAGGCACCAATTTCTGCAAGTTCCGCGGCGATGACAGGTAGAATATTTTTGCCAATGCGCTCATATTTGTTCTTTTTTTGTCGGGGATTTCACTCTCAGACCTTGTTATCACTGTCAGTGTTGTGTTTTTGTGCAATGCGTTTATTTTCACTGATCCTACACGTGTTCAAATGCTTGTGCTTCTCTCGACTTTCGCTCTACCGCGATTTCCTTGCGAAAAACCAAACCTCCTTGGGTCATCAGCCTGACCGCACTATGTCGTAATGCAATAAAAAGGGTGGGTGTTAAGCCGTGCTCGGCGAAAGCAGAAGCTGTAATTCGAAGCTGTTGCTGAAGTACCTCATGCTGATTTTACGACTATTTTGTAATGATAGTTCTTACTAAGGAGACACGCTTTTCTGTTCGTTTTGCCTCTGAAAACGAAGGCTTGCCGTTTACAAACTCGCGATAATGCTTCAAACAAGATAGATTTTTTTTTTGTTTCCATTGAAACATGATTGCTGGTCTGCTGTCAATAAATAATGTTGCCCGTACTCAATCGTGAATTGTTTTTATTGGTGCCAGCAGCGCCCCGCCGCGGTGGTCTAGTGGCTAAGGTACTCGGCTGCTGATCCGCAGGTTGCGGGATCAAATCCCGGCTGGGGTGGCTGCATTTTCGATGGAGGCGGAAATCTTGTAGGCCCAAGTGTTCAGATTTGGGTGCACGTAAAAGAACTTTAGGAGGTCAGAATTTCCGGAGCCCTCCACTACGTCGTCTCTCGTAATCATATGGTGGTTTTGCGACGTTAAACTCCACATATCAATAAATCTGGTGCCAGCTGCCAATGAATGCCTTTCGATTCTATGTAACCTCTGTACGCACAGGTACTGTGTTCTGAAGGGCGCCTTAGTGTGCTTAAAACAAAAGGGCGAAAGATGACGAGACATCCGTAGACCTACACGAGTCCTAGTCTCTTTAGTCCACCTCTGTTTAGAAATGATAGCAATAGGTGAACAATCAGCCGAGGTGACCGCGTAGGGGCATACGCACCCGGTACAAAATAAAAAGGGTTACCATTTGTTTTTTTCTACCTAAAGAACAACAAATTTTGTTTTCCGTTTCCTGTTTACTCAGTGCCATCTCTTGGTCGCCCCCAGCTGTTCCCTGGGCCACCGCTGCTTATCTTGCGTACTGTTGTCTAGGCTACAGTTTACCTTCTCTAAATTGGTTTTTTATTTTGTGGTGAGATTTTTAGTGTGAGGCCCACTGGATGGCTTTCAGCGCTCAAAGTAAAGTAGCCGGTACTCTGAATTATTGCCAACTTTTTCTAAACACACAAACTGGCCCCCATGCTACAACTATATTCACGATATTTAATGAAACTCTTTGCAGCAAGGTGCTAATGGTATGCGTAGAAAAGCCCTGCATGAAACTAGATTGCTTTTTTCATAGAAGTTCTCATCATAGCAATGAACGCAAAGTGGAGGTTAAAGTGCAGTGTATTGAATACGGGTCGGTGCTGAATGGCCCTTGGTAGATTTAAGTAGTCCTTATCAGTCTAATGATGCGTAAGAATGATCAATTCAGGACGTTTTAGTAGGTTGCTATAAAAATTGAATTAAGTCTCAAGTGTTCACTGATCCTGCATTTATGTGAAACTTTGTACATATAACTCGAGATCTGCAGCAAAATCACGATTCCGAGATCAGGCTTTTATTTCAACGCCCTGCGATCACAGGCGCGTTAAAAGTTTGATCCGTGATTTTTGTTTGTTATTTGCTCTCTGCCACGCAGGTTCCTAACACTGCCAAATCCACCCTGCAAACCCTGGTCTATCACCTGATTTCTTACTGTAGGAACGACCTGCAGAAGATTCGCATGTTTTTCCGCTGGATTGCTGAAAACATAACGTAAGTAAAATGTTTAACTGTCGTAGCTACCCTTGTCCCTTTGTCTAAGCTAAAACTGTAAGTTTGAGAAGATTTCGTATTGTTCGCCTGTTTTTCCTATATCTATTCTGCAGTAATTAGACAATATTTGAGCTCAGTGGTGTGTTTAATGCGAACAGCACCCCTTGTTGCTTAAATATATAGAATAAATTCTGAATGATTTTGAGCACTATGCAATCTACTAGGGGAAAGAAGCAGAAGGATAGCAGCTAATAAATATCACCTTGTGCACTGTCCATCGCCAAAGCAGCTTGTTATGTTTGGAAATATTTTTGTCGATTTCGAGTAACATACGTACTCCGTCCCGAAAATAATGAGGAGCGCTTGGAAAGACGAGGACTATGTGTTTACAGCAAATGGGAACTGTTTGCGAACTATCTATAGCTTCTTAAATATTGTAAGGCAACGTTTCAGCTGCAAGACACTTCTTTTACTTGCCGAGCTTCTGTGCCACAACACAGGTCAGACTGATGATGATGAATATGTACCTATGATAAGATGACGCGCATGAATAATGCTCACACTTATTTTCCCCCGACGTGTGGGTGGCCAGACCAGACGCGTCTTAGACGGAAACAGAACATCGAACGAATGGCTTCAGACATGATACGTGGACGATCTCTGAACCACGACAGCGACGATCCGAAGAAAGGTTGGTGGGAGTGACACGATAGTTCACTGGTGACGTCTGTTCATTGATTGTATAGGGTCCAATGAAGCGCGACTGAAACTTGTCGCACAATCCTGGAGTACGAATGGGCGTCCAAAGCCCATTCATCCCCCGGACTGAAGAAGACGTCGCGATGAGAGCTTTGGTAGCGTTGCTTGCGATCTTGCTGATTGGCTTCTGTATCAAGTCAAGCCCGTTGCTGACATTCCTCGAGCCTTGTGTTTAACTGCTCTGATACGGTTGCCGAGGCGTCAGTTGGTACATTTAGGAAAGAAACGTCGATGGTGAATGTCAGTGAACGGTCGTACATGAGGTAGAAAAGCGAGTAGCCAGTAATTTTTTGAACAGCGGTGTTATGGGCAAACGTCACAAAAGGCAAAATTGTTTCCTAGTTGTCGTGGTTTGGTGCGATGTACATCGATAGCATGTCTGTTAGTGTCCGATGAAATCTCTCTGTCAGCCCATTAGTTTGGGGGTGATAGGCTGACGTCATCTTTTGTACTGTGCCACAGGTTCTGAGCAGGGTTCCGAATATGGTGGAAAGGAACGTCTTGCCGCGATCACTCAGGAGGACGCGAGGGGCACCGTGACGCAATACAATGGCGTTGAGAAAGAAGTCTGCGACGTCTGAAGCAGAACTTGTGCGAAGTGCAGCAGTCTTCGCATACTGTGTCAGGTGATCGACAGCAGTCACAATCCAACGATTACGTCCTGGCGTGATGGGGAGAGGTCCGAGTAGGTCTATCCCAACAATGGTGAAAGAAGTCGCGGGACACGGGATGGGTTGCAGAAGGCCAGCAGGAGGCGAAGTTGGTCGCTTCCGCTGTTGACACAGATGGCAAGATGCAACGTACTTGGCCACAAAGGTAGAGATGCCAGGCCAGAAGAAATGTTTCCTCATGCGGCCGCTAATTGAGAGGCTCGTGACACAACTTTTTTTTTGGAGATAAGCATCGCCAGAATTTTTCTGGGGATGTGGAAAGAAAACGTTTTAAAGAAAAACTTTCATAATATTCCTTCGCCTGTACAATGTCGTGCTTTAGTTGGGCCCGCAGTTTAGATAGTGTTTCAGCATTCTGAGCAGATGGGCGTCGCCATTGCTGCATCCTTGCCCATTTTATTTTCCTTGCCAATTGAACAATATCTTTTGTTATCCAAGGGTTCATACCTTGCCACTGTTTTCGTTTACAAGGGTTGAAATTGTTCAATCAGTGCCAGACAGTTTCTTTAAAGAAACACCACAGGTCATTGACAGATATGCTACCCGATTCATACTGCGGTGTAAATGGAGAAAACGAACAGTCCAATGCATCTAATATATCAACGTCACTGGATTCTGCATAGAAAGGAATTAGCCCCCCTTTCTTTTGTTGCTCAAGGGCAGCGATAGCTGGTACAGTGAGGCATGCTATTTTATGATCCGATGTTCCTTCAAAAAGATGCGCTGTTGACTTTCGCCATAGCGGTCTATTGTTTACAACAAATAAATCTAAGACTGAGGCACTGTTTCTTCAATGTACGTAGGTAGCTTTACAAGTTGTGTTAACCCATGTAGCAGGACGATGTCCACATCAGGGAGCTCGTTTATGCAGCTGGCATCTGGAACATTAAAATCTCCGACCACAAGTAAATTGTCCCTGCTGTTTCTATCTTCGCATAAAAATTCGTGAAGTTTCTCAAACAAAACAATGATTTAACTAGGTGGGCGATAAAATGCCCAAACGAGAACGTGGAAATGCCCCGTAACAAATCTCGCTATGACACATTCCACATCCACTATATTGGGTAACCTCGTCACTGTCACAGATTCACGAAACATGACTGCTACACCACCGCCTCGAGAGCCCCTGTCTTTCCTGAAAATTCCATGCCCAATTGGTGTAATTTCTGAGTCGTTAATGTCACAGTGCAGCCATGTTTCAGCGATTACTATTATATTGGGATTATGAGTAACTACAGTGGCTCACCATTTTATTCGCAATGCTGCGCGCATTTATGTTTGACAACAAAACAAAGCTTTGTTGCAGTTTTCTCGTCATTTTGCCCGTGCTCGCACCTGTCTGTGCCTGTGAATCGGGAATGATTTTTACTTCAGCAGTTTCATTGGAACAGTTTTATTGTTTATTTTAACTTTGTCCTGAACGAGCCTAACTACTTTACCTTCGCGTCTCGCATCAGCGGTATCATCCCATAGGTGTTTCCTGAGTTGCCTGGTTTCCACTGAAAAGTCTTCAGCAATGAGTACACAGCTTCCTTTTAGCTTAAAGCAATTTTTGAGCACCATTAACTTTTCACGGTGATCAAACAGCTTTAATATTACAGGATATGTTGATGATGCTCTGCCCACACAGTGTTGTCAACCAATGTTTTGAAGATACCCTGCGCCAAGATAAAACCTACGCTACTTTACCCTACACAACTTTTTATTATCGTACGTTCTACCTTACAGAAATAACACCGAATAACAATGATAAAGTACAGATAGCATACACTATACGATGCTCACACGTATGGGGTGCCTCCAAAATTGACACACCTACGAGTTTGCGACAATGACATCTGATGACGTGAAAATTTCAAGTCACATTGTGATAAAAACAGTGACGCCACAATGATTTCATGATAACATCAGCGATTCTGTCGGTATGTCACAACGACATTGTAAAGTGGCATCAGTAGTTATTTCATGATCATTTTTGCAACACTGGCGTTGATGCTGACCACCACTTTTCGTGCATGATGACTCATCTGAAACTTCAACCTTAATGACTGAAGCTGACCACCGTCACACCATTGAAAAGCCCGTCCACGCAACGAATAAATGGGAGACGACAGTGAAAAAAAAAGGTACATGCCCGATAGAAAGACAAGAACAAACCTAGCACAAAAAAGTTTGACTCATTATCTTTCATCTTTTGTGCTAGTGAGATGGCAATGAAGGCAGTTACAATTTGGATCTCTCCAGGCATTTAACTTTCGGATATGTCGCGCTGATCTTCGACATTTTTCACTGATAAATGTTGAGCGGAATGATGAAATTACCCTAAATGACAGCCCTATCTATACGCTGGCCAAGAAATTGCGAAAAGTTTCTACAAGTAGTGTAATTACCCGACGGTCGGCAACCCTGCGCCTGCAACGCAGCGACACCGCCTCCTCGGCTCGCCGTTGTCGCTTGCACAGCTTGCGTTCTATTTCTCTAGTAAGCTGGGCGTGGTGTTCAGCAGCTTCCGCTCACAATTGGTGCTTTCATTTCGCTTCGCGATCTAGCGCGGCTTGGTAGGCTCCCGGGTCCTCGGTACGCAATCGCTGTTTGCGTCTGGTTACCCAGGTCTGCACTTGCGCTCGGAATGCAGTGTCGGCCCGGTGAACACGAGTTCTTGTCGGCGCTGTTCTTAAAAATATATCTACTGTTCGCAAGTTCGTACGATCGATCACTTACCACGGAGTTCCAAGTTGAAACTGATTCGCGAGGGCTCGTTGGCCCGGGAGCGACGGGACGAACGACCTCAATGACGGCGCAGCCAATGGATTATTTGATTGCGTACCGCACAAAGAAGGGCGTCACTAACGTCACTGTCAATTGCACGTGCGCTTGGGTGCGACGCAGAGATCGACGTCAGGGACAACGCAGCCAATGGAGACCACTCTCGAAACATGAGGTGACAACGGTTTTTCGTCTCATCAAGCCATATAAAGCTTTCACTGTAAAACGGCGACGGCGCGCGCATATAGCATCCATAAGCCAACTTTCTCGGACGCTGCTTCCACCCCCTCGCCCCCTCCCACATTCTTCTTATGTTGGGCTCGCTTACCAAGGTGCTCCTGTTTCATCTTTTTTTTTTTTTTTATGGCCTGGCTTCAGAAATTTCGTGGGAGACTCCCTTGAATAGTTTTCTTGCTCGTCTTCCTTCATAGTGGCAACATTGTCAGGTCAGATACTGTACGTCTCTGTGTGTCTTGTTTTCCGAAATAAGCCTCGAAGCCTTGGTAAACTTATTCGAGATGATGTCGACGATACCCCCTATTTACAGCGAGAGACAACACCAAAAAAAGGAAGGCGCACAAGACATGGAGCGCTGACTGACTACTTATATTTTATTGAAACCAGCGAGTGTTTTTTTTTTTTTTTTTCATGCCACTGGTGGCCTGACACGCTCTGTAGGCAGGGCGTGTTTCGCTTAGCAGAATAACCGCTCGTCGTGAAGAGTAACTGCCTGTATTCCTATGAGAAGGCAAACGCGCGAGGAGTATAGACGGTAAGTTAGGTGAAAGATTAGGTTACGGTGTT